GTATGTCAAAAACTATAAAACACAGAAATAAAAACAGTTGTTTTTTGAGGCGTTGTGACAACCTAGACGAGTGGGATGGGGTGGGAGGTGGCAGGGAGGCTCAAGAAGGAGGGAACACATGCATGCCTATGGCTGATCCATGTTGATGTATGGCAGAAACCAACACAACATTGCAATTATCCTTTAATTAAAAATAAATAAATTTAATAAAAAATAAATATACTTGCAAAAAAATTCTTGTTTTCTAATCTGTGGGCCTAAGGGCACTACTAAGGTTTGTGAAAGCTACAAGTCTACCTTGGAAAAATGTCAATACATAAAACTTGCTTCCTTATCCAACTAGCACTTACAGTAATATACTTTCCTTGATTAAAAAAACACAAATCTGATGATACTTTTACATGTAAATACCATTCAGAAGCACAATTTCACGATCAGGTTATTCTTGGTAAAGTGATACTGCTAATTCATCTTTCTTAACCCATGATAATATTAGCTAGGCTGAAAATGATACTGTGAAATTAACAAAACCTTCAGGAGTCTCTTTTCATAGAGCATCTTTTTAAAGAATATTTATTCTCCCTGTAAATAAAACACTAAAAAAAAGTCAAAACCTTTCCAGTCAACTCTATATTTACTAATTGCTCAAAATTAAAACAAATTTTAAAAAGGAAGTGGGGGTGCAAATAAGTTATTTTCAATGCTAAAATGATAAAACTGACTAAAACCGGGGCAACAAGTACATGGCCCATAGACACCCGACATCACTGACCCAAGAACATCAGTTTAAATTAGGTCAGGTAAGCAGTATGCCCAAGTTGGAATAACTGAAAAATAAGTTGGTCTGCCAAGCCTCCTGAATGCATCCACCAAAATAACACATCCCGACATCTCCTGCTTGTACCTCCCATCACTCTACTCTGGACTCCAGACACACAGGCCTTCTGGTCCTCAGTGTTCTCCACACGCTGTGTTCTCACACTGCCACATTCTCTCCCTAAACACTTCAATCAGGTTCGGCCCAGTGTCACCCCTTCAGAAAGCCCTCCCATCCTTTTTCTTCTTCAGGTTTCTTCACAGCATTTAACACCACTTGTAACTCAATGTATGTCTATTTGCTTGTTTATTATGTGTCTCTCCCAGCAGAATGTAAGTACTACAAGGGCTAGAACTAATTCATCACTGCATTCCCAGTACCTAGAAGCATGCCCAACATATAGTGGGTGTAGCATAAATACTGGGGGAAGGGCTTCCCTGGTGGTCCAGTGGTTAAGAATCTGCCCTGCAATACAAGGGACACTGGTTCAATCCCTGGTCCTGGAAGATCCCACATGCTGCAGGGGAACTAAGCCACGACTACTGAGCTCACGTGCCTAGAACCAGTGCTCCGCAACAAGAGAAGTCACCACAATGAGAAAGCCCGCACCCAGCAACAAAAATCCTGTGCGGCCAAAAATAAAATAAATTAAAAAAAAAAAAAAAAAAAAAACACTGAGGGGCAAATGTTGAATGAACAAGGACACCTGGCAGTACTTATTTCTATGTTCAACATGTGTGAAAAACACTTAAAAGATAAAAATTTAAAACTTATTATAAACATTAAGAAATGTATGCCTCAGCTTTGAATTTCCTTAATAAAGGTCATGTAACTTAAGGCTCTCTTTATAATAGGTTGGTTAATGACTTATTTCCTCAGTTCATGGTTCATCACAGAGCTGACAAACTACCTGGATGGTTAACTGCCTTAACAAGTACCCATCAATCTAACTGTTGATGCTGCTACTTTTGAATGATCAGACTTTTAGACTGCCACACCTGTTCCTTGACAGAGATCTTATCTGGCTGGTTCACTGCCCTATATTTCTTGCCCAGGAAGCATAATAGGCTCTAAATAGGTTCTCTACAAATATTTGTTAAAATGAAAGAATAAATGAAACTTGCATAAGTTTTTCATCTGGGTTCTTATATGTGACAAACCAATCTCAGTTTACCTGTGGTTTGTCTGGACTTCCTGTGGTCATGAATCTGTCTTTGTTTTTTTTTAAGTTTAATGTCAGATGAACAATACAAAGATCTCCTTTTGTCAAGGGAAGTGCTAAGCTGTTTAAATACAAGCAGTAAAGAAAAGGTTGTAAAAGTAAAAAGTCCATAATTTCAGAGTTTTAATTTACTTTCTCTACCTTAAGAGCAAGCACTAGAAAAATAAGGAGTTCAACATGTATTTCAGTTTTCCGGTAACTTTGAAAACATGCACTTTAACGAAAGTACTATTATTTCATATTTTACCATAAAATGTCGGCAATACCTTACATATTATGTCATGAGCCTTGCACTGATTACCCTAAATTGTTTCCAATCTAAAGTCTTTCACTATATTCAGACTTATGGAGTAATGTCACAAAAAGTATACCTATAATTTGCTAGAAACTTTTTTTTCCACTTCCATATTTCAAAGAAATCAGTATTACTTAATTAGTATCTATCTTGCACACAGATACTCTGGACACTACGGGTACCTCACCCCCTCCTAAGATAAGCACAATCTAACTGGCTGAAGAGTGAGCATTTTTTCATCTATACACGTAGAGTTCAGGACGCTTCCTCCAACTTCTCGCCCTCAATCTTCCAATTCGACAAGGCCAAAAATACCCTTTAAAAATGTCACTTCTACTCTGAAACACGCTGCACTAAATTTCTAAAAAGAGTAATGAAATTTTAAAACTTCCTAACAGCTTCACGCCTATACCGGATTAAACAAATCTTCCAAAGTCAAACTAGCCACGTCTAGCTTCACTCTAAGTCAGCTTGACAGTGAAGCCCCAGGTGAATTCCCACCAGCACTTCGAACCAGACTGTCACTTTTCAACCTAACTTAAGGTCAGGAAGCATAACCGCAGAAAGAAAAGGTACACATGAAAAGAGGGGTCAAGTTCACCCTGGCCGTCCTCTGTGCGGGGGGACAGTCCCTCAAAGAGGCGTTTCGATCACAGTGTTAGTCGCTCAGTCGTGGCCGACTCTCTGCGACCCCATGGACTGCAGCCCGTCAGGCTCCACTGTCCACGAGATTTTCCAGACAAGGATACTGGAGTGGGTTGCCATTTCCTTCTCCAGGCGATCTTCCCGTCCCAGGGATCGAACCCGGGTCTCCTGCATTGCAGGCAGATTCTTTACCAACTGAGCTACAAGGGAAGCCCTGTTTCAATCATAGATCAACGGTCAATTCGTAAAAAAAGACAAAAATCCAACCCTTTGATCTAGGGCTCTCGCTTCACCCCTCCTGCCTCCAGCTCTTTACAAACGCCCCTACTCACAGGCTTGACTTTATTAACTAAATCGACCTCGTCTAAGGAGCAGTGAGTCACAAGCTCGACGAAAGCCATGGGAAGGGGGGGAAAACGAAAGCTGAGGCCCGGGTGGCAGCAGCGGCGGCGGCGGCAGCAGCAGCGGCGGCGGCGGCTTTTCTGGGGCGCGAACAGCTGACTCCGCGCCGGGCCCGAAAACCCGGGCGGAAAGACCAGCAGAGACAAAGGCGGGGAGCGCCGAGCACAAGGCGGGGGTGGGGGGAGAAAGAGAAGAGAGCGGAGCCGGGATGAAGGCTGCGAGGCAGAGGGCGGCGGGCTCAGCGCGAGCTCCAGCCCCGGAAGGCCGACGCCGCGACCAGGGCAGCGCCCGCCCGCCTGCGCGCGCGCCACGCAGGAGGCGACCGACCGCGAGCACCAACCCCCGCGCTGGGGGCCGCCGCGCGCCTCGGGAGCATGCGCGAGCCCTCAGCCAATCAGAGCCGGGCGGGAGGACGCCAGCGCAGGCGCGCTGCGAGGCAAGGCCCAGGATCAGGAAAGCGCTCCCTCACCTCCCCCCGATCCAAACAAAACAAGGGCGGGAGCGCGCGCGCGCGCCAGAGGGCCCCGGAGGCGGCTTCCACCTGAAGGGCAAGGGGCTCGGTTCGCAGCGAGGGTAAGGGAAGAGGGGGCGGAGCGGCCGGGAAAGGCAGACCAAAAAAAAAAAAAAAAAAAGAAAGAGAGAGAGAGAGAGAAGAGATGAGTATAATATTGTAAAGTAATTAGCCTCCAACTAATAAACATAAATGAAAAAAAAAAAAAAAAAAAAAAAGGCGCCACCTCCGGGGACGCGAGCGCCCCGCCCCCTCCTCTCAGGGAGCGGCGTCGGCGCCCCGGGCGAGCGGTTTCTACCGCCCGCCTACGGGGTCCAGCGGGCCCGCGCCCGCTGCCCGCCCGCCCGCCCATTCCGTCCCGCGTTACCTCTGCGCTCCCCACTTCCTGGCGCCCGCGTGCTGCGAGGCTTCTCGGCTCCGCTCCCGCTCACCGCCTCCGCCACCGCTGTCCTCCAGGCCCAGCCGCCGAGCTCTGCCGCCCCGCCCCCCTGCTCGCGGCCCCGCGCGCGCACTCGCGTCGCGCGAGACTCGCCTCCCCCCGGTCGGGCACGCGGGGGCGCGAGAAGGCGGGCGGGGCTGGCGCGAGGGACGCCGGGGCGGCGCTGACTGTCCGCGCGTCTTCCGCTGGCACCTCTCGGGTGGCTCCCGTCGTCTGGGCTGGCGCTGTTTCGGTGTCCTCGGGTTCCATCCCTGAGTTTCCACTTCGGCGCCCCATCTGCCTTTGGAGGGGGTTGGCCTTTCCCGCTCCCGAGTTGAGCACAAGAACGACCCTCTTCTTTGAAGACGACGAAATGATTAGAAACCCAGAGAGCGGAGAGTGCAGTTACCTCACGCTCGTTCCTATGAAGTCTCCTCACAGGACACAGGAATGCCTCAGGAAAAGAACTGTAGAAGTTGCTTTTCTGGTCAATGAAGCGGTCTCCTAATCACATAAGCAGGGAGTGTCCTCAAGAAGGAAACTTCGGGATTGGAAAGGGAATTCCCTTAGAATTTTTACGTTAGTACCAACGTGCTTAGGCTATGTACGTTACTGCTGAAAAACGTTAGAACTTTTTCAAAGTCGGTTTGGGGAAAATTCGATGTATCTAAAGTAGTAGGTGTTTTGTCGGGGGTAGAGGGGGTTTTGTTACTGAGTATACTCTTAGAGAAATAGTTAACACTACAATAGCCTTGAGGCTCAGAGCAGTGTGACAGGCAGTCGAATGCGTGTACCTGTCCTTCTTAAGATTTACTATGAAACCATCTTAAGCACTTTATAACCCAGTCCTCAGGCTCTGGCGTTGCCATGAGCACTTTTAACTGTCTCACCAGCTTTCCCAGGCACAGCCATCACACTCCATCCGTTCCAAAGTTAGCTATATAAAAATATCACCACAACCACAAATTCCTTACAAGGTGAAGGACATTACCATTAATGTCCCAATGGCATTACCAGTGCCCTGGCATCCTGGTGGGTCCCATTAAACATGTTCACAAGGAGTTGGGGTCATCTCATCACCGTTTCTATCTTTTGTCTCCTTTTAAAAAGACTTCCATTTTTATGTATTTATTTGCTTAAAACATCCTACCTTTCTTTTTCCCGAAAATGTCTTTATCCCCATCTCAGACAAGGAGCTGACACAGATAAGAGCAAACTAGATTCCACCTTTACACAGATTTTTTGCTTAAAACACACACAACGTACTCTTCTTTAGAACACACACCCTCGAGGGGAGAAACCCTGGAACACAGTTCTTCGTGTGCACACAGAGGTACGTGCACACACGCCACCCACCCTCCCCCCCCCCCCCCAGCTAGGCACTGAAGCGACCATTTCCTTAAACCTGAAGGTGTTTTCTCACTTACAAAAAAGGACTTGAAGTGTTTACTGGACATGTATATTGCTTGAGGCGTTTTACCTCTGCTAACTGTAACGTCTGGTCAGTTTTGATTTTTATGCTTAGCCACATCTGAGTTAAGACACCATGGGGGTATGGTTTTATAGTTTATCTCACTTGGTTTTCTTTGAGCTATACTAGTAAAAACATCATTCAGTTGTGTTTCTTGAGAAACAGAGTTACATGATGGTTTTTGTACCCTTTACTTAAGCTGTTAGGCTGACATTCTGCACTGGAGGGAACATAGACCTGCAAGTTGAAGAGCAGCTCTGTCCTCATGGAGTGAGTGTGTGGAGGTTATGATCAGAGCATCAGTAAGACCCTCTTGCAAAAAGAGACCTCTCACACTGAAATCAAAATCCCTGAAGTTGGCACCATTCATTCCTTTTAAGCTTCACTCTCTTCTAAAGTACTTTTAAAGTGCTAATATCAAGGAGAGCTAACATATAGGCCTCAAACTGATAATTGAGAATTCATTGTTATAATCTCTGAACTTGAAAATATAAAGCTTTCCATTGCATAGTCAGGGATCAGAAGTATAAGAACTCTGAGTGTCTGCATAGAGGAGGAGCACCTAGGAGAAAGAAAAGGAGTAAATGTGCTGTTGTCTGTGATGACTTCACACTTCTGCCCATGGCCATCAAGGTTAGAGGAATGACTCAGGAGTCCCAGAATCGTAAGGAAATGTAGGGTTTTGTGAACTAGAAAAGCCCCAAAATGCAATTGCAGCATCTCTAGTTTTCAAAAAAAAAAATCCATTTTTTTTTCAGAAGCCAAGTCCCTGTTGAAACTTTAGCACGTTTTGCAGACTTCGTGGCCTGCTGTCAACGCAATAGTTTTACTTTTTTTTTTTTTTTTGGCTATTCTTCACTAAGTGATACTTAAGTCTGTTAGGGTAAAAGGTCATGTTTTGTATAGAAAAACAAAATAATGTGACTTTAGAGATTTAGGTATAAGGATAGAAAAAGATGAAACAATTTCAGATTCCAGGAGTATTCCAGACCAGAGCTACAACACTGCCTCATGAGGTTGAGCATGAAAGATACATCCACCTATTTTACTCACATTCTACTGTGTGTTAACACAGACATTTGAAGAATAATTCTTGATTGTCTGGTGCGGAGAGATGTTTCTGTTCCTAGCAAGTCTATCTTTGTTTTCCCCACAAATCAAGGACAATTCTGTAATTTCACACACAAGTAACCAAAAACCTGGCTGGAGATTGGTTCCTTAAGAAGGTATGGTTCTAGTAGAACTGGGGGTCACTTGACTTTTCTGGTTTCCAGCCAGGAAGACTGGAAATGACTCTCAAATTTGGTTGCAGCTTGAAGAGGGATGGCAAGAGAACAATTTGTACTATTAGGACAAAAAAATACAAAAACAAAGCCGGAGGCTGACGAAGATGTTTAATATTACTTCACCACTGCCACCCTTTTAGTGGTTTTTCTCTTCTATTATTTTTACTTCCTGAGGCCAAGACCCTGGTTTAGAGACAGGTAACAACCCCGCATCCTCCTCTGCCAGTGCTGCACTTACTGGTGACAGTAACTTTAACTCCATTCATCCCAGCAGTCATCAAACTGAAAGACTTCTTTCTAAACTTTGAAAAATGCTGAGTCTAAAATATGTCTGATCCCAATTGTTTTGGATATCATGTATCAGAATATACAAACCAAATAAACTTTACAAAATAACATTTACCGTCATAAGTTCTCTCCCCATATATATGTGTGTGTGTATATCTATATGTATTTACAGTGCTGGAGGAAATCCATTAATTTTGCCATTCACAATTTGAGAGCCTCTGTTCCAGATGTCACTAGCCCTCTGGTGTTCAATTGGAGTCAATGTTTCTAGCTTCTTGAAGAGATCTGAAAAGTGTTAATGCCAAGAGTTTACTATCATTTTGAGGAGGGTAAGTTTTATTTATTTATTAATTAATTTATTTATTTTTTAAAGGAGTGGGTTTGGTGTCGTTCACGATTTGGGAAGCTAACTAGTTCCAGGTACAAACTCCTGGATAACAGCAGGTATGCTGCTGCTGCTGCTAAGTCACATCAGTCGTGTCCAACTCTGTGGACCCCATAGACGGCAGCCCACCAGGCTCCCATGTCCCTGGGTTTCTCCAGGCAAGAATACTGGAGTAGGTTGCCATTTCCTTCTCCATGGAGGGTAAGTTTTAAAAGCTGTCCTTTAAGTTTGAAGTGGCTGATATATTGGATCAAGTTACAATTCAGTCTTCAAAGTAACAAAAACACTTGGGAATGTTATTACAGGTGTCTAATGCTGAAGCTGAAACTCCAATACTTTGGTCACCTCATGCGAAGAGTTGACTTACTGGAAAAGACCCTGATGCTGGGAGGGATTGGGGGCAGGAGGAGAAGGGGACGACAGAGGATGAGATGGCTGGATTGCATCACCGACTCGATGGACACGAGTTTGAGTAAACTCCGGGAGTTTGTGATGGACAGGGAGGCCTGGCGCGCTGCGATTCATGGGGTCACAGAGTCAGACACGACTGAGTGACTGAACTGAACTGAATCAAGGTCCCTAAGGCACTTAGTCCTGTATCTCTTAGGGAAAGAAACAGAATTTGCTTTCAAGCCTGGCTCATGTCAGTTTCTGGGAATTGTATATGTTGAACCATCTTTCCCCCCTTTTAAACACCAGAAGCAAAACAACCACATTTTAGACATTATAAAGACACTCTTGATTTGCCAAACTTACCTAAAAATCAAAATATATCCAGTGTTGACAGTGTAACATGAAGCAAATTTGCCAACAGTACCATTTTCTCCCTCTAAACCTACTTTGTGACTCTATGGGCAAATTATACTTGCAGGAAGATGTCTGAAGGGAACCAGGCCTGTGATGGTGGCAGGAGATTAAGTGACCGTCAGATCAGTGACAACAAGGGTGGGGGACTATCATGGTTTACCTGCTGCGAGGAGGTTGGGTTAGTGTGAGGCAGGACCTTCAGTTTTTAAACCAGTAAGCTCCCAGCAGAATGAGCTGGTCACCGTAACACATCTTTCCTTCATGGTTATGGGGAAATTTGAGAGAGTTTCTTTAAAGAGAAAGATAACCCCTCCAATAAAACCCAGTAATTTAAAACATGAATCAAAATTTGTGACTGGAGACAAAAGACATTTTTAAAAGAATCATTAAATTGGACCCATTTGTTGAAAAACAAAACTGAAGTCCCAAAAAAATGGTGATGGAAAGGATCTTTCCCTGTTATAAAACAAAGTGAAACTGCACAGTGGTGAGAAACTGAAGTTTTTTCAAAAAGAGAAAATACCATAAAACACTGGCTTTGAATATTCCTGAAATACTTGCAGCAAGGTTGTCAGTTTCAACCCAAAGTTTGGAAAGAGCAAGATTCAAGATTGAGAGTCAGATTGTTAGTTCAACTTTTAAAATTTAAATTTTGATTCATCAGTGATGTCTTTGTTCTTCCCAATAGAAAAAACATTTTGACCAAAAAGGCATAAATTTCAAATGTTCAAATTTGACATTTTTATGTCTCTGCTTTACACTCTACTTGAATGAGTCTATGATACTTTAAAAAATCCTGAAATTTAGTCTAACCAGCTAGTATAGCTGTCTCTTTATCCAAAGTAGTTAGCATCTCCTACATTAGGAACAAGGGCAGACATATGACCCAGCAATCCCACTTCTGGGCATACACACCAAGGAAACCAGATCTGAAAGAGCCACATGCACCCCAATGTTCATCGCAGCACTGTTTATAATAGCCAGGACATGGAAGCAACCCAGATGCCCATCAGCAGACGAATTAAACTACTGTAATGATGTAAAGTAATTAGCCTCCAACTAATAAAAATTAAAAAAAAAAAAGAAAAAAAAAAAAAAGATTCAATAGGAACAAGGGCAGAGCTGTATATGACATAATATGCATTTTCCCCAGAATATGTATTTTTAAGTACTTGGTATTTTTAGTAGTTTGTTATTGTTTTATAGCAAAAACTAGTTGTTTTTTCTTTCTGTCATAGGTAGGGCAATGTGTAACTTGCAAAGGATACCATTAATTTATGCCCCCCAAAAATGTTTTTCCTTTTTTTCAATGCCTTTCTTATTGAATCCTAGGAAAAGTGAAAAGTAAAAGCGAAAAGTAAAAGCTGCTAAATCTCCTCTCTGTTATCTGTCAGAGGAGAAGACTGAGATTTCAGGGCATCCTAGGGAAAACAAAACAATAAAAAAAAATTTTTTTTAACTACACAAAGAACAGTAAAGAAACATGGATGGGCAAACCATGATCTACAGTTAATGAATGTAGTAGAATTTTGTATGTGGCTATGACTAGGGTTGTAGAATGTGATAGAGAACTTTGGACACAGGGAGGACAGGCCCCAGGTGCTCCAGGCAGAATGCTGGGGGCTTTATCTCTCCTTTAATTAATCCTCAAAACAACCTTATGAGGTGGATGTGTTTACAGATGAGGGAACTTGAGGTTTAAACAACCCATGCAGGGTTGCATTAAAGGCTCTATATTTTTCCAATTCCAATACTCCCAACAAATATCCACTATACCATTTTCCCAAGTGTAGAATAAAGACTTCTGGTGGTGAGAGAATATATATTTGGGAAATCACTGCCTTCCAGAAAAACCAGTTTGTGAGTCTCAGCGCTGACACTTGCTAGGAGCAAAACTTCTGTGGCATTTAGATTCTTACTGTTGAAAGCAAGCAGTACCAACTTATATATGTACCAGAGGGCTGGTGCAGACTGAATTAGACAACACCAAGTCATGCGGATGTAGAAAAGGCTTAGTATTTTTGTATTACAGACGAGAAAACAAAGCCTAAATATTTTTATGACATTGTGCAGGAGACAATGATCAAGACCATACCCAAGAAAAAGAAATGCAAAAAGGCAAAATTATTGTCTGAGGTCTTACAAATAGCTGTGAAAAGAAGGGAAGTGAAAAGCAAAGGAGAAAAGGAAAGATATATCCATTTGAACGCAGAGTTTCAAAGAATAGCAAGGAGAGATAAGAAAGGCTTCCTCAGCGATCAATGCAAAGAAATAGAGGAAAACAATAGAATGGGAAAGACTAGAGATCTCTTCAAGAAAATCAGAGATACCAAGGGAACTTCTCATGCAAAGATGGGCACGATAAAGGACATAAAAGATATGGACCTAACAGAAGCAGAAGATATTAAGAAGAGGGGGCAAGAACTATACAAAAAAGATCTATACAACCCAGATAATCATGGTGTGATCACTCATCTAGAGCAAGACATTCTGGAATGTGAAGTCAAGTGGGCCTTAGGAAGCATCACTATGGACGAAGCTAGTGGAGGTGATGGAATTCCAGTTGAGCTATTTCAAATCCTGAAAGATGATGCTGTGAAAGTGCTGCACTCAATATGCCAGCAAATTTGAAAAACTCGGCAGTGGCCATAGGACTGGAAAAGTTCTGTTTTCATTTCAATCCCAAAGAAAGGCAATGCCAAAGAATGCTCAAACTACTGCACAATTGCGCTCATCTCACACACTAGCAAAGTAATGCTCAAAATTCTCCAAGCCAGGCTTCAACAGTATGTGAACCGTGAACTTCCAGATGTTCAAGCTGCATTTAGAAAAGGCAGAGGAACCAGAGATCAAATTGCCAACATCCACTGGGTCATCAAAAAAGCAAGAGAGTTCCAGAAAAACATCTACTTTTGCTTTATTGACTACGCCAAAGCCTTTGACTGGGTGGATCACAACAAACTGTGGAAAATTCTTAAAAGAGATGGGATTACCAGATTACCTTATCTGCCTCCTGAGAAATCTGTATGCAGGTCAAGAAGCAACAGTTAGAACTGGACATGGAACAACAGACTGGTTCCAAATCAGGAAAGGAGTGTGTCATGGCTGTATGCTGTTACCCTGCTTATTTAACTTATATGCAGAGTACATCATGAGAAACATTGGGCTGAATGAAGCACAAGCTGGAATCAAGATTGCTGGGAGAAATATCAATAACCTCAGATATGCAGATTACACCACCCTTATGGCAGAAAGCAAAGAGGAACAAAAGAGCCTCTTGATGAAAGTGCAAGAGGAGAGTGAAAGAGTTGGCTTAAAACTCAACATGCAGAAAACTAAGATCATGGCATCCAGTCCCATCACTTCATGGCAAGTAGATAGGAAAACAATGGAAACAGTGACAGACTTTATTTTGGGGGCACTCCAAAATCACTGCAGATGGTGACTGCTGCCATGAAATTAAAAGACGCTTGCTCCTTGGGAAAAAAGCTATGACCAACCTAGACAGCATATTAAAAAGCAGAGACATTACTTTGCAAACAAAGGTCTATCTAGTCAAAGCTATGGTTTTTCCAGTAGTCATCTACGGATGTGACAGTTGAACTATAAAGAAAGCTGAGTGCGAGTGCTGAAGAATTGATGCTTTTTAACTGTGGTGTTGAAGACTCTTGAGAGTCCCTTGGACAGTAAGGAGATCCAACCAGTCCATCCTAAAGGAAATAAGTCCTAAAATATTCATTGGAAGGACCGATGCTGAAGTTGAAATGCCAATACTTTGGCCACCTGATGCAAAGAACTGACTCATTGGAAAAGACCCTGATGCTGGGCAAGATTAAGGGCAGGAGGAGAAGGGGACGTCAGAGGATGAGATGGTTGGGTGGCATTATTGATTCGATGGACATGAGTTTGAGCAAGCTCCAGGAGTTGGTGATAGACAGGGAGGCCTGGTGTGCTGCAGTCCATGGGGTCACAAAGAGTCAGACACGACTGACCGACTGAACTGAACTGAACTGTTTTACAAATAGCACTTATTTTTAGTTAGCTTTTGGTGAAGAGCTTTATAAGCTGGCAGGGATACAAAGTGTTCTTAGGCAGTAGTTCTCAAACTTCAGTGTGCCTGAGAGCTTGTTAAAAGTTTCCTGGGCTCCTTCCATTCCTTCAGATTCTGATTTAGTAGGTTAGGGTCTGTGTATGGGCAGTTCTGATGTGCTCACAGGTGATACTGATTCTGCTGGTCTAAGGTCCACACTTTCAATGACCTTAATCTTAGATATGGGCTTCCCTGGTGGCTTAGCAGTAAAGAATCTGCCTGCCATGCAGGAGACCTGGGTTTGATCCCTGGGTCAGGAAGATCCTCTGGAGGAGGGCATGGCCCCACTCTAAGTACTCTTGCCTGTAAAATCTAATGGACAGAGGAGCCTGGTTGGCTACAGTCCATAGGGTCGCACAGAGTTGGACACGACTGAGGTGACTAAACAATGGCAGCAGCAGCAATCTTAGATATAAACTTAAACTGCAAAATAAAATAAAATAAACTTAAACTGCTTTCCAAAGAGCCAGAAGCTATTCCAATTCACTGTGTTGCTAAATTTTGGGGCTGGGGATCATTTAATGATGAAAAAGTACTGCCATTCCCAAAGTGAGAACTTATTTAAAAAAAAAAAAAGCACACGCACAAACCAATGAAGGTAGGTCTCTAGCAAATGCTATTGAATTGAGAGTATAAGGCAATTTTCAAAAAGTACTTTTCATCCTTTAGTCCAGAAAAGGTTTGTCTGGATTAATTTGTCATAGGACATGTTCAAATTCTACTTTTGCATGTGAGAATGAACTCTCACCATACCTGGCACTCTTGCTTCATTTTTCAAATATACCCTGCATCTCCTTTGCACTCATCATTCTGTCTACTTGAACCCATCCCATAAGTGTTTAATTCTTTAGACTTCTCAGTTTAAAATTCTCTTCCTAAAGGAAGCATACCCTAATCCCCTGGTTTATACAGGGAGCCCATTACCTGCTTTCACAGCTCTGTATTTTCAAAACATGTGCCTTTTGTAATGCCACACTTGTGTGTCCAACCAACACCTTGCAGTTTAAAAATATGTTTTAAATACTTGAAAATATAAGTTGTTCTCTAAACAATTTGGTAAATCAGGTTATTTTCACCATTCCACAGTGGTCTCATATTAGAATCACCTAGGCAACTTGAAAACAAAATGATGCCAAGGTTCATCTCCAGAAATTTGGAAACAACTGCCCTGGGGTTGAGTCCCAAGATTTGTGCTTTTGAAAACTCCCAGGTGAATCTACCATGCAGCAGTGCTGAGCCGCAGTACTCGCCGTTCTAGGAAGCAGTTAGATAGGAGTGCTGTTGGAGCTTTGCCAAAGATGGTTTCCCAGGACCAGGTCAGAAGACATATTATCAATAAGAGGTAAATATTTCAGAAGAGTCAGAAAGGAAATCACTGCTAGAACAAGTTCAACTGCTGGACAGTCATTTGTTTAGAAAATTTCTTGATAGTCTTACTGTTGTTCAGTCATGTCCAACCCCATGGACTGCAGCACACTAGGCTTCCCTGTTCTTCACCATCTCCTGGAGCTTGCTCAAACTCATGTCCATTGAAGTCAGTGATGCCATCCAACCATCTCAATCTTCTGTCATCCGCTTCTCCCCTTGCCCTCAATCTTTCCTAGCATCAGGGTCTTTTCCAGTGAGTTGGCTGTTCACATCAGGTGGCCAAAGTACTGGAGCTTCAGTGTGAGCATCAGTCCTTGCAGTGAATATTCAGGGTTGATCTCCTGGTTTGATCTTGCAGTCCAAGGGACTCAAGAGTCCTCTCTGGCACCACAGTTCGAAAGCACCAATTATTCGGTGCTCAGCCTTCTTTATGGTCCAACTCTCACATGTGTACATGACTCTTACTTCTTCAAAAAGTTTAATAATATCATATTTAACCAAGACTTAATGCACTGTTAAGCTTGGGAAACAGTACTGAAAGTGATTCTGGATGTGCTTACATGGTTGGCAAGAGTAAACTTTTTTTTTTTGGTTGCGCTGTGTCTTTGTTGCTGCTCAAAGGCTTTTTGGCGAGAGGGGGCTACCCTTCATTGCAGTGCATGGGTTTCTCATTGCAGTGGCTTCTTGGGCTTCAGTAATTGTGGCACACAGGCTTTAGTTGCTCCATGGCATATGCAATCTTCCCAGACCAGGGATCGAACCCATGTCCCCTGCATCACCAGGCAGGTTCTTCTCCTCTGTGCCACACCAGGGAAGTCCGAGAGTAAACTCTTTCTAGAGAGGACAGTGGGGGCCCATACAAGTGAGACTGGACAAATGACCAGTGAACAGTAGTATTAGTATCAGAACACAGATGTCCCAGTGCCAGTCAAGATCTCTTTGCTACTATGGCTTACAACTTCTCCCTGTACGACCTCTTGCTACCCACCCAGCTGACATTTCCTTTTTTTTTTTTGCCCAGCTGGCTCCTCGGATGACCTGATTTGCTTAACCCTTTCATGTTTGCTGGATACATCTAAGACCTTACATTTACCTCCGAGCACGGCTTCAGCGGCGTCTCATCAGGTTTCAGTATGCAGCACCTGCACTGTCAGTTAACTTCTGGTTACTTCATCTCCATTATTATTATCTAACTGCGTTAGTCATCTAGGCAACATTTTAACACTGTACTGTATGGTACACTTTAATAGACTGTCTGAATATTGCTAGCTAGGGGAAAGTTAAAACAAATCATCATCACAGGGAAAGAGAGGGAGTATTTTCAGTCCTTTCTTCCTGTTACGGACGATGAGCAAAAACATAATTATAGTATGTATAGGATGGCGTCTTTTGAGTACCAGAGTTATCACAGAAAAAATGAAGCAGTATTTTCAAAAAGCCATAGTGTTCCTGTGAAACTAGCTCACCTTCAGTAAAAAGAAAGAGAGTTTAAAGTGCCAGCAAAACGAGAAGCAGAGACATACCAGTAGTAATGAGCTCACCCAATGCCCAGTTCTTGGTTTCTAAATAACATTCTCTTAAAGGAAACCAAGGCTCCTAGAAGGAATGGCTGATTCTATAGGTAGTGGTTTCTGGTACTGTCACAAAGTAAGTGCTCGAAAATCTACAGATGAAGAAACATCAAAGAAACACATGAATCAACCTAAAAGTGCTCCCAAGGCCAAAGCTGGAACAACCTATGTGACAAAATAATGTGGCATTGGATCATAACTCAAAATATAAAATAAATATACATGAATCTGAATTGATAGTTAGTGACTAGCTTCCAAACAGACCAGAGTAAGAAAAGGTGAAAAGAAAAGCTAACTTTGGAGTGGAGACCTGGCAAACACCACCATAACCACATAGTTAAGGTGAAACATCACCAATGATGTCATGGGAGCATCACATACCCCCCCCCCCCCCCCCCCCCCGTTATGATATGAGAAGGGCACTTCACTTACAAAGTATTTTTATCCCAAACTCATTACCTTAGTCTAATCATGTGGTGCTGGAGAAGACTCTTGAGAGTCCCTTGGACTGCAAGGAGATTAAACCAGTCAGTCCTGAAGAAAATCAACCCTGAATATTCACTGGAAGGACTGATGCTGAAGCTGAAACTCCAATACTCTGGCCACCTGATGTGAAGAGCTGACTCATTGGAAAAGACACTGATGCTGGGAAAGATTGAGGGCAGGCAACAGAGAGTGAGATGATTGGATGGCATCACTGACTCACAGACATGAGTGTGAAGAAACTCAGGGAGATAGTGATGGACAGGGAAGCCTGGCATGCTACAATTCATGGGGTTGCAAAGAGTCAGACACAAGTTATTGACTGAACAACAATAATCAGGAGAAAAACACCAGACAAACCCAACTGAGGAACATTCTACAAAATACCTGACCAGTGATGTCAAGGTCATGACATACAAGGAAAGCTTAAAAAACTATCAGAGAAGTATGCAGAAAACACCCTGGTTTCGAGAAGAACAAAACTGATGTAATATTAAACTATACTTTGTATGCTTATCTTTCATCTCCCCTTAGAAATGTACTAACTTAGGGTATAAAAGCTACGGTGAAAAATAAAGCATTGCCAGACTCTGCTGCAAAAAAAAAAAAAAAAAAACTATCAGAGGACACTAAGAATACATGATGACTAAACACAATGTGGTATCCTGGATTGCATCCAGAAGAAAAAGGACCAAAAGGGCAGTAGTGAAAACCAAAGTCTAGAGTTTAGTTCACAGCAATGTACCAATGCTGGCTTCTTAGTTCTGATAAATGTCCACTGGTAATGTAAGTGAAAGTCATTCAGGCGTGTCCGACTCTTTGTGAGCAAATGGATTGTACAGTCCATGCAATTTTCCAGGCCAGAATACTGGAGTAGGTAGCTGTTCCCTTCTCTAGGAGATCTTCCCAACCCAGGGATCAAACCCAGGTCTCAAGCATTGCAGGCAGATTCTTCACCTGCTGAGCCACAAGGGAAGCCCCTGGTAATAGAAGACATTAATGGTAACAGGGAATTAGATGAAAGGTACATGGGAATCTACTAGATTTGAAACTCTTCTATAAGCCTAAACTCATTTCAAATAATATATTCATTAAAAAAAAAAACTTGGCACATGGTTTCTTCAGGATTTGGTAACACAAAATGATGTCTCTTTGGGCATGGGGTGGGTGGTAATCCTAACACTAACAGGTAATCACTTTCCCTCTGAGGGATACATGTGGTATCTGAAGCTAGTGAGCACATAGTGGATCTCTCCCTAAACTACTGGGGGATGTTGAGACTTATAGGGTTCAAGTGTATTGAATAGGAAAGGTAATCATCTATAAGACTAATAAATTGGGATAGTGAGTAGAAAAGTGAAAGTGAAGTCAATCAGCCATGTCCGACTCTTTGCAACCCCACGGACTGTCTCCTACCAGGCTCCTCCATCCATGGGATTTTCCAGACAAGAGTACTGAAGTGGGTTGCATTTCCTTCTCCAGGGGATCTTCCCAACTCAGGGATCAAACCCAGGTCTCCTGCATTGTAGGCAGACACTTTACCCTCTGAGCCACCAGGGAAGCCTCAGTGAGTAGAAGCGGCTCCATTTCAAGGCGTTTTTTATTCCTTAATTTACTCTCATGACAAGTAAGCAGCCTCAAGCTGCTCAGGAAATCAATCATTATGTCCAAATGTGCCTTGTTGGAGAGGACAAATAAAACCTCAAACATCAGGGTACACTGTAGTAGCCTCTAATTCATGCAGGAATTCCAACCCTAAGGAAAAATGACTCAAGTAGCAATGAATGCGAGGTCTAAGTGACCAGACCCCAGTTGCCAGTGCAACTGGGACATCCCAGGTCATGCGGATCAAGTTCACAGAGTGAGAAAAAGAAGTTGTGAGGAACTTGTTCTGAATGAGCTGATGGTTGTAAACATATCGCCAAGTTTTATCTAAAGAAGCGACAGAAAACAAAGAAGGAGAAGACAGAAAAATCAGGGTCTACATCAAGCTGTCCGGTCCCTGACGTTGCAAACGCTCGTGAGGTTTGATCACCTGCTAAATGCTGGACTGGAGGTCAAAGCAAAAAGCAACGCAATGTATGGTTTTATCCATGTGAAGCCACAGAAACAGAGTATGTGGCTCCCAGGGGCTGAGAAGAGTAGAGAAAGAGGAGAAACGACTCCAGGACGCTTCGTCTGGGTTTCTGGCCTGAGGAGAATGTTCTGAAATCAGATAGTGGTGATGGCTGCACAGCGGTGAATACGGTACATTTTGGGTGACTTTAAAAAATCATTCACCTTTGGCTGCACTGGGTCTTTGTCCCTGTGTTTGGGCTTCTAGTTACGTTGAGGGGGGGCGACTCTCCCGTTGCGGTGCGCGGGCTCCAGGCCAGGTGGGCTTCAGGAGTCGTGGCTCCCGAGCTCCAGGGCACAGACTGTCCAGCTGCGGTGCTCTAGGGCACACGGGCCTCAGGAGTCGTGGCTCCCGAGCCCTAAGCACAGGTTCAGCAGTTGTGGCCCACAGGCTTAGCTGCCCCGCAGCATGTGGAACCTTCCTGGACCAGGGAATGAACCCATTTCCCTTCCACTGGCAGGCGGATTCTTTGTCATTGGACCAACAGGGAAGTCCTGGGTGTATTTTATAGTATGTGAACTATATCTCAATAAGAAAAAAAAACATAAAAATTAAAAGGAATGCAAAAATGCTCCTCTCTTCAAAATGGGGACTGTAGGAGTGCATAAAGGCCAACAGCATGGAGAAAACTGAAAAACTGGATCCTTCTTTTTTTTTTAAAAAAGAATAAAATTTAAGGGAATTCTCTGGTAGTCTAATGGTTAGGATTCTGTACTTTCACTACTATGAAAGTTCCTGGTCAGGGAACTGAGATCCAGCAAACTGCATGATGCAGCCAAAAAGAAAAAAAAAAACAAAGAATAAAACTTAGGTAATGAAAACAGAGAATTACATCCACTAGCCTAAGACTACTTTTTCTAGCTTAGTATCCTTTTGGCTTGAACTGAGTCACTTGAAAGAAAAAACGTCAAAAAACCCATAATGATAACTTGTTTGAAGAGTGGTTCGAGAACAGATAAAACTATCTTTGGGCTAATAATTGTAAATAACCTACAAAGTATTTTGAAATGTTAAGAAAAGACAAAAACCAAATCAAAGATCTGCCAGCATAACAAAGGGCAGACACTTCTTAGTGGGTTAGTATGCTGATGTAACATGTAAAATTCTAGCTTTCATTTTCCATAAAAAATGTGAGTTTCCATGAAAGTAAAGACTGTCTTATTCACTTATATTTCCTGCACTTAGAACACAGTAGATGCTCAGTAAATATTTACTAAATGAAACAAGTTCATGATGCAACTATGAACTGGCTTGCTGGTTTTCACAAGAATCTAAAATGAGTTTATTTTGAAAACTGGCATCATGTTCTTTTGCTAGAAAGGGAAAATAACTCATTTAAACTTAATGAAACACTGTAAGTTAACTGGTTTGAATACAGGCATAAAGCACCTTAATGAATGAACCAGATCTTAATGGACCTACCTGTTCCCAAAGTGAAAGAGCTTCAAAGTGAAAGAGCTGCAGGTATGTCAGCGCTGCCCATGTCATCTATTACCTTAAACCAAACATCACCAAACCTTGCTTTCAAGTAAGAAAACTGTAGAGAAAGTAAGAGTCATGACGGCGTTTCTGCATTTTAGCTGGTACAAGTGTGGATCAATTATCCCACTTTGCTCATATTTTGCCATTGGTAACCTTGCTAATCCCATCTAATATTCTGTATATAAAGCAACAAGTTACCCAAAAGTTACTTTGGAGTCTCCTCATCACAGTTCATGTTACAGATGAGACTGCAGACACTTATTTCTGTTATCGTACTATAGATGTTTATATAGCTGAAGCTTTTTTCAACCCTTGAATTATTTTCCCCCTGATATTCTTCTCTTTCCTCCAATCCTTACACATGTCCACATCTGAAATACTGATGAACAGGTTATCACTGCTACCTGAAGTTCCTTCCTGGCTAGACCCCTGCAAACAACAGTCACTGATTTCCAGAAGGCAGTTCCCACCCCCACACCCTGTGAGTGCTGCCAACACCTAAAACTACATCCCAGTCAGATTTCTGGCTCAGAATCCTCTGCACTTTGATTCTGGCAGCTGTTAAAACTCAAAATAATAGAATCGAGTTGCTTCTTCCAATGGAGGGCTCCCAGGCAGAGCCTGTGGTCAGACCCTGAAACAGCTTTTCAGGCTCCATCTCTTATGACAGCAGCTGTCATCTGCCTGTTACAAGACTTTCAGGACTTGGCTCTTGGAGAACAGCCTTCGGCCACTTCACAGTGGGCTCTGTGGGCTCATGGAGGGGCATCCTGTGTTCTGTTCAACTACATTCTGAGAGAGAGAACTTTTTACTGCTATGGAAAATTTTGTTCTTGTGCATTACAAGTCTTGCCAAGTCTCTTAACGTGAGCATTTCTTCAGAGATGGAAGCCAGAAGAACTCTTTGGTTATTCAGATACAGAATACAAGGCTGCATATTTGGGAGCAGCCTGGCTTTCTTCATAAATGCATTTTGTAGGGTGATGGTCTACAAATAATTGAAATGGAAAGCCACTTGTAGAGACAACAACTTCATCAAAGGACACAGACACACACACAGACACACAGACCTACACACACAACAAAGCACAGCACAGCACTCCAGTATCTGTCAGAGAAACAAAGGCCCAAACCACAGTCCACTTTATACTCACCAGAATGGCTTGCATGAATTTGAAGTTGGGGTAAATGTGATTTTCACACGTGGTATTGGTTTGGTTTTAAACCACATGCTCACTTATTTTAAGAAGCGTAATTTAACTTTGGTTTCTTTAAAAGACATCTTTGGGTTTCTTAAGCATTGGAGGCAGTGATGGATTTAAAAATCACTGGTACTGGTCGTTTCAAACGAAAGTAGTTTCCCTAATCCAAATACATGCAGTGGGACACTAGGGGATTTGTAACAGTGCTGCTGGCTTTGTTCCTGCCAAGGATGTATTTTTGCTTGGTGTTGGAAAGAAGCATCCCGTGGACTTCAGAGAAGCTCCCCCACCCAAGCATGAGTGCCCTGCGTTGCCCACAAAGCAGCCTGCCTTTTTCCACTGCAGACACACAGACACACACGCTCTCGCCCGCCCGCCCGCCCCTCAGAAGCGATCTGGATCAGACGACACGGAGTCAGACAGCACCCCCCAGGGGTGGGCGCACATGCAGCAGCTGTCAAAAGGAGAAGCCACTTGACTTTCTTTTAAACTTGCAATGTTTGCCTTTATTTTGTTCTTTATATTTTGAAAGTGAAAAGAAATAGTACTGAGTCAATTTCTTTTTGTTTTTTTTTTTTTTTAAATATTTGTTCTATGTATTTACAAGCCTTAAAGTTGCTCTAAAGATTTCAAAAGTATTGAGTACTTTTCCCAGGGTAGCACTTTTTTTTTTTTTAAACAATTCTTGGAGTTCTCTGGTCCACAGCATTTCTTTCTGTTCCAAGGTTATGTATGTTTTGATTACTATTGTGATTTTTTTATTTTCTGAAGCAAGCTGAGAGGCAGGCAGAAAGATCTGATGCCAAAAAAAAAAAAAAAAAAATCTTTCTTACCTTGTTCACCCCAAACCTTCTCAAATCTGGACTAAATACTATGCTTTGAAACAAACGTGAGGTGCATCTGAAGGGGAGGGAAATTTATTTCTCTGCTTTTCTATTATACAAGTTGTTTACAGAAACTGCAAATTAAAAAATTACACTGGCATTTGCAGTCCTTAAAATAAATTAAAAGTTCTCAACTTTTTTTTTGTTTTTTTTTTTTGCTAAACAGATGTGTTTTTTTTTAAAGTATGAGTCCTCGTTTAAAAAGAAAAGATTAAAACAGAAAATATTTTCTATAAATAATACATGTATTTTGGTTTTAGTGCTCCCGCCCTCAGGTTTGAAGGTTACTTTTTTCCAGTACCTTTTTCCTCCATGATCACCTTTGTTTCTCTTTCCCCTCTCCCACTCGTGCACACGTGGGGGTTTCTGCGAGAATTGGCCTTGCTGCACTGTGATTGGCGAAGAGTGAAACTTTTTAAAAAAATACTTAAATTGTTTCTTTTCTTTCTTTTGTGTATTTGAAGTTTTAGTTATCCTCAGACTCCTCTTCTGCCTCCCGCAGCCAGGTGAAGAAGGCGGTGACAGATTTCAGGGCCACGCCCTTCCCATTCTGCTCTGCGGGGTCCTTGCTGCTCTCCCACTTGTAGAAAGCATCCTCAGAGATCACCTCCTCGTCATACAGGCAATCAAAAAACATCCGTAGCAAATCTGCAAGGAGGTGAAAGGAAACCATCGGTTTGGAGGCACTGCGGCTGTGAGGAGGCCGCACTCCCATCCAGGGAAGGGATGGAATTCACCGGCAGGACGCCCCGTCGGGGTCACTTCATCACACTCCCTCCTGACAGCCTAAGAGCAAAGCCATTTGTCTAAAGAATGTAAAAAAATTTAGGCAGTTGGAACTAGTTTTTATTTTATTCAATTTGAACTGTCTTCTGATATTACTGAGCTGTTTGATGTTACATAGTTTTCAACCTGAACACTTAAAAATACAAGAATAATTTTTTAAACTTTCCTTTTGATACATTTTCTTTGAGATTTTACAATAAAACCATCTAATTTTTATAAATTTTGGGAGGAAAAGGCAGAATGTGCTTTCTCTCCTCTAGTGTTGTTTTCAAAATGAAGAGAGTAATAATTCATATGAAAAACATGGGTAAAAACTATCTCATCTGGATTTTATCCAATGAAATGATAGTCATTATTTTCAGTGCCCAGATGATCTGGGCAATTTTAGTCTTCTGTTTTACTCTCATCATGGAAACTCAGCTTATATTATTGTTTCAAAAAGGACAGATTTATAGATAGAATATCTCTTCAGTTATACTTTGAGGACTGTTCCAATTCTTCCCTTTATTTCCCAAAGGGATTTAGCACTACTAGCCGAGAAGAAAAACTCTGCATAAGTCACAAGCTAAGGAAATGCCAAAGAATTACTTCAGTGCTATCTCTGAAATAGCCATATACTTAGTGTCCACTTTAAGAAGTTTCAACTGAATTTTCAAGATTTAATACGATTCACTTAATTTACCAGATCACTAACACTTGGGTGTTCGAGTTACCTTATTTGTCTGGTTAGCCAGATTTAACTGTAACTCTTAACTGAAAATTAGTCTAAAATGCCTCCATGTCTTTGTTGGGTATCTGAGGACCCTGACAAGTATCACCCTCTTTCATTATTAAGGCCTGGGTCCAAGAAGGTGGAGAACTGTACTGCACAGACGCTAATGCCACGTGCCCTAGACTTGCACTGTCCAATAGGGTAGCCGCTAACCACATGGAGCTACTGACATTTAATATTTTAAGTTCAGTTCCTTAGTCACAGTAGCCACATTTAAGTGCTTGACTGATACAAGTGGTTCATGATTGTCTTGTACTGCATGACAGAGATACATTTCCATCATGGCAGAGATTCTTATAAGACAGACGTGCCCGAGAATGAGGATTAAATCTCCTCATATAATATAAATAATATAAACTAGTCTTCTTGTCATTTTCTCAGAAGAGTCAACCACTTAAAAACATTCAGGTTTATCAAAGTTACAGGCTGAGTTTTTGTCACTAGGGATTCTTCTATTTTCCACTGTTTAAAGCCCATCAAACCATCTCTCGAGTGCTGCCTTGGATAAATTATCCTCACCCATCAGTTGAGTTAACTGGATGAAGAGGTAAACTTACTGGCAGGTTGATCAAGTTTTACTATTGATGCTTGTAGTGCATAAAGTGCTTGCAGTTCCTTCTCTGTATCTGAGTCTAGGTATTTGAGTAAGATCGGCACTCTCTGCTTGATAACAGCAGTGTCCACTCGGAAGGTCGAACAGTCGGCTGGAGGAGACAGAAGAACTGAGCATTAACACACACAGCTGTTTTCAGTTTTCTGAATCAGTAAGACATACATGACCCTGCAGGGAAAGAGGAACGAAGGGGGTCTGTGGTAACTATTTTGAAATGCCAAATTTTCTAAAATTTCAATTAAAACAAAACAACTTTATTGAATTTGTTATAATACTGCTTCTGTTTTATGTTTTCGTTTTTTGGTCGTGAGGCATGTGGGATCCTAGCTCCCAAATCAGGGATCGAATCCACACCCCCTGCACTGGAGGGCGAAGTCCCAACCACTAGACCACCAGGAGAATACATGAAATTCTTCCTGAAACAAAAAACAAACAGAAATATGGAGGAGGATGTATTTAGAGTGCTGGGCTGCCTCAAGAGTAGTGCACTCAGTTCTTTATCTTTAATCATAATCAAACAGGGACAGTCGTCTCATGACATTCCAAACCATAAAAACAACATTAAAAAGGAAATTATAAAGAGAGAGTTCATTTACATCTCTTAAGAAGGGTAAAAGAATTAGAGCTGTTGTATTATTACTAGCAGTGTTGTTATTGTTTAGTCACTCAGTCATGTCTGATTCTCTTGCGACCCCATGGACTGTACCCCACCAGGCTCCTCTGTCCATGGAATTCTCCAGGCAAGAATACAGGAGTGGGTTGCCATTTCCTTCTCCAGGGGATCTTCCCGACCCAGGGATTGAATCCATGTTTCCTGCATCGGCAGGCAGAGGCCTGAGCCACCAGGGAAGCCCCGTTATCAGCAGGATGAGGATTAGTTGTGACAATGGCAAACACCACCAGGTGTTTAAATTCATCTGACAGAAAATCTTGAATTTTGAAGCTATCTCTATAATGATTCTGAACAACTTTTCAGCTGATAGATTTTTTTTTTTCTATTTCAGTGACAGATATGTGGGCTTCAGTCCCAGGCCAAGTGGATGATCTCGTTAAATCTTAGTTTTTTTTTTTACTGCACTATGTGCAGTTCAGACCGTTTAGAGTCTCTACCAATCAGAATCCTGTCTATCTATGTAATTCATAAACATTCAATAATATTGTCTTATCAGGTCAACATAAAACAGGAGAAATAATTGGTATTTTCTTTCCTCATACATGAATTTACATAAAGTGGCTTTTCTTTTGAGATTAGCCCTTCATCGACATTGGACAAGGATATTCAAATTGTTCATTTTAACTCGTGAATGGAAGGCAGTGCAGCCTCTGAATGCTGGAGGTGAAAAGGAAAGGAAAAGTCACACTCAGCAGACCACCTCAGGAGCAGGCCCTGACGCCCTGCTGACCTAGGGAGCAGAAGGCCCACAGCGGCTCTGACAGCTGGGCCCGCTGCAGGCAGAGCAGCTATCTGCGCCCGCGGCCCAGGACAGCCAGGCACTGTAGGCAGAAATGGCGTTCATTTGGCACAGGGACTGAGCTTTACAGTGCCGCTGTTAAGGGCAACATAAACTCTGACCCGTATCATCAGCAGTTGACATATGGGGGATTTTCAGATGTTGCCTTCAGAAATACGACTTACCTATAATAGCTGCTTTACAGACTGCGGTCATTAAAGCTCTAAGGAATGTAGGCGAACTCATCTGGCTTTCATCTAGATTAGCCTGCAATCAAAAGTAAACAGAATAGTTAAATGTACCCTTGGCACACCAGAGGTATTATTTTCCCCTAAACCAGGCTTCATCTTGCACTAAGGGCACATGAGATCATGTTCAACTTTTTAGTAAAAATTAGTCTTTTGATTCACCAGGAAATACTGGGGCTATCACCAGTTTTTTCTGAGAGTGTTCTACATAGCGGTATTTTGTTTCCGGGGAGCTTACCACTCCATATCCTCTGTTCATTCAGTTAAACAGTGCTGTGTACTATATACATTCGGAAATGCAACTGTTTAAAAGCATTTTCCCTTTTCAATAAATAAGCCATCTTAAGATGATCTTTCCAAATCTATAAAGTTGAAAGAACAACTATTCTGCAACTACAGAGTATTTTAAGGCCTACTTTGCTCAGTAGTGTGGAACTATGTTTAGATGTGCTAACGCTGCTTTTTCATCTTAATGTGAATTAGAGGCTAATTTCTAGAATTACCTCAAATAAACACCTCAGGTAGTGGTGAGATAACTGTTCCTCTTTTCTAAGGATGGCAAAAACATGTATTCTGAGGTAAATTAAATAGAGTAAATGAACCTCCAACTTATTTTTTAGTTTATTTCTCTTAAGA